AAATTATGAATTTATCCACGATAAAATATTCAGTTTAAACACACTATAGATTGTTATTCTTCCCTTCTTTTTTTTTTTTTTTATTTGTGGTAAACAGTTAAAACGCTATTAACGGCCCATCTAGTAATTAAAGTTAAAAAGTTTACAGTTAATTACAAATTTCAAAAGGGTAATAACGATTTTGCCGTTACAAGTTACTTTGCCATCAAAGTGGTTAAAGGTCCAACAATTTGCCATAACTTTGTTGGGTTATATATTAAGCAAAATTTTTCATTCAATAAAAGCTTTTAGGACACAACTATGTAAAGATATTTTGCTCCATTTCGACTACATACCTACATGTCATAAGTCTGATTTCTAGTTTTATTATCATATATTTCTATTTTGTATATTATTTTATAATTTTTGTTTCCCTGGATACTTAAATGTCAGTTTGTCCTTTTACGTTATCATTTATCTATAGTAATTTTTTGTATTCCTTTCAATTATTATATTTTTATACGTTCATAAAAAGAAAAAGTCAATTATTGTTTTGCAGTTTGTTGTCAATCCAGTCAAAATATCATATTATTCAAATGACTTTAATTTCTATATTGAAACGTGAGTTATGGCTTTGATTTTAGATGAAGATGATCTTTAAAAAATCGAATAGAAGAAAGTGCGTCATTATTTAGAAGAAAAATTAAATACCAATATTGTACGATTATTATTTAAATATAGAATTAATTTATATAAACTCTTCTATAAATTTTACATTTTTTTGACACTCTTCACTATGAAGATATCCAAAACACCAGGAATCTTTAATATTTTTTTTTTTATTTTAAATAAGCCAAAAATTCTGGCAACAAGGTCTTCTCTTTAAAACGAATGCATTTCTTAAAAAGCGTGTATGTGACGTCAGAGAATTTAGTGTACCGCTGCCATATTGATTTTTTTAAATGGCAAACGCAGTTCGAGTGATATATCAGAGAAAAGCTTATTTTTCTCCTCTTTAAGAAGACTCAAAAAACTACCACAATACTAACGTAATACAGTCCAATTCATCACTATAAAATACCTTGTTGCTAAATTTTTTGCTATTCTGTATGTATGATCATAAAAACTAATAATTAAACATTCACACGTTTCAAAGGAAGTACCTCGGTGCCAGACTTTTTCGCTACCCCTTATGTTACAAGTACAGAGAGTTCTAAATTATTCTGGAACAATATTTCACGCAAGTATTACATTCTTGTTACTAGTCAAAGACCGTTAGTACCATTCTACCATTCCGTGTTGGAGACAAATGTAGAGAACAAAGAGAATGGATGGGTATGAACTCATCGACTTCTTCGATAGAGTGACCAGATGGCACCAGATGAGTACCTACTAGAAGGATGAGAGCACCTTCATAAACAATAGTAGTTTATGTTACAAGGACGAAAAGTTGTCCGTGTTTCATACATTGTTTTTTATTCGAAAGTGCTTAGATATTAAAAAATATATACAAAATTAAATCTGAAATGATATTCCAATAATTTTTCGTTAACTGAGTTGGCTGTGAAAACAATTGAACAATGTCTGTCGTGTCACTGTGCTTATGTCAAATTAATTTAGTTACCTAGTTTATTAAAAATTGGTGTAAAAAAAATTGTAAAAATGAGTTGTGACGAAGAATTCATTATTGGCAGGCCCCCCAGATAATAGAGACGCTGCAAATTTGGTGCCTTTGAATTTGATTCCAAAAAAATCCAAAATGGTATATGAAAGAACCTACCTCAGATTTGAGAATTCTAATTGGTATGCAACACTTTATACACTTTAACCTTAGAGACCATGGCCGATAAAGTACTTTATGAGATATATACACAAGTTCTACTTTTCGACTATGTTTTCTGTCCGAAAACCGACGTTTTTTGACACATTCGAATAAAAACACTTTTTGTTAACGTAGAATATTAGAATTCCTGACATCATCCAGTTGCAATTTTTAGTTATCTTTAATTGATACTGACTTTTCTTCACAAGACGATGCCAATTCTAATAATAATAATTCTTTATTTTCCAATTACTTCAAAAGTTTTAAGTTAGATGGACGGTGGTGTAGCGGTCTATCGCGCTTATATTCATTTATTGGCAAGTTTATGAGTCTGAGACTGCTGGGTTTCGAATCCCAGACCGGACCATGTGGATTTTTAATTAAATTGCATGGTTCGGTTTAGGATTTGATGTGTGGCGTATTAATAGAAATTCAATTTCTGTTGATATGACATGCAGATTAAAAAAATTCGCGATACATTACCGTCTCGATGATGGTGGGTGAGGTTTTCCGGGTTTTCCTCACCTGTAAGTCAAATGGCACCATCAATCATCTTTAAGTCACCCCGGAGCGCCACGGCAAATAATAATAATAGCCGTCCCTTCCCCTACACAAGTCGTTCAGTCGACTTCAGGGGTTGAAATTCACTCGTAAGGGGGTGAATTAGGGAGAGTATTATTATTATTATTATTATTATTATTATTATTATTATTGAATGCTAATCTATAGGTCTTCTCAAAACCAAACGGTCTAAAAACAGTATATGCACTGCTAGATACACTTTAAAGTAATTAAAGAATATTGTACTAAAAATAATTACCTAAAAAGGCAGTAAATAACACTTTCACAGATATCCGAACGTTACGTGTACATTACACCATCTAAAATATGTGTGCGCCGCTATATATACTTAAAAGTAAAAAAAAAGTACATTTACAAATACAGTTACTTGTATTTTAATGGATATGAAGCAGTGGTTCGAATCCTGCAGCAAACCAAGTGATTTTTTCTTCTATTTTGAGGATTCGTTTCAGGATATGACGGGGGGCGTATTAGCAATAATTTAATTTTTGTTAGGTTATCGTGTTAATGATAGTGGGTGGTGTTTTCCGGATGTCCCTGACCAGTGGCGGCTCGTAGTAATTTAAAATGGGTGTTTATTTTTTCCAATAATTTTATAATATGTAAGTTCGGATCAAAACTTTGTACAAGAGTCAATTTCGCTGTTTTTTTTTATTAATTGAGTTTGTATTAAGTGTAGTTATTATTATCAACATCATACTGTTTTCAAGCACTACAACTATTAATAAATGAATATTTTAGTTAGTGTGATATTTGTTTTTAATACGTTAAAAACCATCTATAAACATTATTAGTTAGTAAACTGACTTTTCTTCATAATTAGAGATTATTTGTAAATATATATCAGGTTATGTAGAAAGCATGACATTGATTTTAGTGTAAAAAATTTTATATGAAACTTTACCTACCATTTTTTAGTTTTTATTGCAAGTTTAATCATTTTCACAATTTGTCACAGATGTCAAATAAAAAATATATTTTTTAAATACCTTTTATTGGCAAATAAAATAAGAACTAAAATGTTTTAAATGATTATTTTATAAGATCAGTTCCATCACAATACATAATATTACACAGACACAAACTAGAATAAAGATATATAATGCCTGGCATTTTAAATGATACTCTTCGCAGTTTAACAGACCCCTTAACCCCCATTTTTAAGCAGATTGTTTTCACAATCAATAGGCCTCATCTCCTTATAGACCTTGATTTTTACTTAAAATTTCTTGTTGATATCGCTTTTCATTTTTGATTTTTTTTAATTCAACCCCCTTTAAATAACCCTTATTTAATCAGATTTTTTTATAATGGAAGGGCTTCTTCTCCTTTTAGATATTGATGTTTTCTAAAAATTTCAAGTTTTTCAGTTAGGATTTTTTTTATATTTTAACCCCCCTTAACTCCCCAATATATTCATATTTTTTTCAGTATCAATAGGCTGTATCTTCTTATAATGCTTTATTTTTACTAAAAATTTCAAATTGATATCGCTTTTCGTTTTTAATTTAGGATTTTTTTTTTATTTCAACCCATCTTAACCACCTATTTTTAATCAATTTGTTAGAATTCAATTGGCTTTGTCCCTTTATAGAGCTTGATTTTTGCTTAAGATTTTCAAGTTCATATCATTTCTCGTTTTTAACTTATCGTACAGACAAAAAACGTGACATCGGACCGACAGACAAAGTAAACCTATAATACCCTTCAGATAATACTGTATGAAGAGTAGAAAAAAACATGTATAAGGTAAAAAAAACAATTTAGAAAGGTCAACAATAATCAACTTCTTTTATCAAAGGATACTGAAAGTTTAAAATAGCAGCACATAATTGAACATTTACATAAATCTGTGAACAAAACTAGTGAGATACACATCGTAAAATGTTATCAAACTTAATTCTCCATATGACCCTTTCTAAGTGTATTTCACAGCAAATTCCAAAGTATTCTTGCTCTCACTCTGTCCTATACCCTTATGGCAGACTTTTACATGTCCATGTTCACTAAAAAATAGTGTGTTTTAATAAATAACAGAATAATAGTATTTTGTCTAAATAGGTAAATCGGCTTCATCTGTATTTTTAAGTTATTGTTTTATTGTAGATAGTACATTTATGTTTTGATATGTTCTTATAGGATTGATTAGCCAGATCATGTAGATATGTGGGATGTGACTTGTTAAGTGCCTAATCAAAATCATAATTTATGTTTAATACTTATTGCTTTTTTCGAGACATACTTTATTACCAACTGTAAACTAATTTACCACACAGGCTTTTATTTAATTTAACTTAATACCTGCAGTGGTCCAAATTACCATAACATCCAATATTTTTGAAAATACTATAATATACAAACTAGGCAATAAAAAAATGTTATTAAAATAAAAGAGAAGGAACGCCCCTGTCCCTGACCTATACGTAAAAGCGCACTATCCCTTTTTCTATAAGCCGTCCCTTTCCCCCGCTATTTACTCTTAAGGGGAAGAATTATTGTATGGAGGTTATTAATAATATTATTCAGAATATTAAAAATATTCATTACATTATCATCTGAAAATCCTCTACTACTTAATACTCGTAATATCTAAGCTACATTTTTATTTTATTTTCAGCTGTCAGGATGGCAGAAATGTCCTCGATGGGTATTGGAAATAAGCCTTGTTTGGACATTAGACCAAGTGATAACCAAATTAGCGATCGGTCTATAAGCTTTGCTCAACTAAGTCGAAGTAAGTTCAAATGGTTGTCGCCACTTTTTATAATTGTTAAAGGTGTTGTTCATGGAGTAAAATAATATTCATGTGTAACGGAAAAGAAAAGACATTTGTCATATTTAATTGCTCTTTATTGGTCTCGCCCCATCTATTCTTTCATGTTTTCATTAATAGATTTTTTCGCTACTTTCTTCAGCTGTGGGAAACTGTACAAGGAGGACGTTACAAAACCTGCGTCATAACTTTATAGGAAGGTCCATGGAATCTGTGAGAGAACCAAAACCCTTGGTGATTCGCAGAAATTCTATGGTATTATAGGATACTATCTGACGGTTATATCAATAATTTATATTGATCAAATTTAATTTTAAAGTCAAAGATTTATATTTACTTTTAGTTTATTTGTTGTAAAAATAAAACATGTTCTGATTATTATGTATAAGTAATATTTATAATTATTTTTGTTTGTGTAATATCCTCATAAGAAGCAATAAATATGACCTGTATACTAATTTAAATTAACCTTTGCATAAATATGATTATCCTTACTGGATATCTTTGGATAATTTAGTACCTAGCAATCTAGTTAAAGCACATAATACATTTTAATTAAAATTTCTGTCCCAAAAATAAGATAATTTTTCTATTATTTAATTATAATTATACAGATTGATAATCATGTCTAATAATAAAGGTTCTTATTTTAGTTCATGCATTTTTGAGGATATTTAAAACAATAATTATACGAATCTTTAGAAGGCGATAACATAAGAAATGTCACAATGATTGTAATAGTATACGATACTATTAAGTATTAATAATATAAAAATAAAGATTTTCATTAAAGTATTTTTCTTTATTATTTCATAGATCTCTAGCTCATTTTAAATTAGAGGTAACATGTTCTGCTAATACAGAACGTCCCGGCTGAATGCAGAATTTTCTTTTTTGTGCATACATAAAAGTATTTCATAACATTTAAATATTATTTTTCTTCTCTATCTGCCTCGTACTCGGTTGGAGTTTGTTGCGCTGTTTCAAATATATATGGTTATTGTTAAATTTTGGAATATTCTGTCTTCTTTCTTTCATTTTGATTTCCATCTTGTTCCGTTCTTTGTCCTGTCGCCAGTGTTGAGTTTGAAAATCTTCCCTATCATTTCTCTTTTAATGTCGTTTTCATCTTGGTTTGTTCCTCGTCCTTTCTCCAGTTTAGTCCTTCTTTTCAATGTCTTTTACTATCTCATCGTTCCATTTAATTCTAGATAGTCCTTTGCTTTCTCTTTTGGCTTTCCCACTTTCAAACCATTTTTCCCACGTTTCGTACTATATACCCTGCAATTCCCCTTAATGTTTTTTTTTTTCATTTTGCTTACCTACAGGTATTGTCTCTTGCTTGCTTGCGTGGACTCTATAGGTCTGATTCATGTGTTAATATTTGCATAAATATTAACTATAATAATAAAAAGATTAATTCAATAATAACATTCTTTAAAATTTTTACAGCTTCTTAACTAAAACTAAAATATGTATTAAATTGTCCTCGTATATTATGTCGTTTTCGTATTTCTCAATTTTCAATATGATGCCACTGTTTTTAATGACTTGCAGTTTTAGTGTTCATTGTAGTACCTATTCTCGTTTGTGCTTCTTATTCAACAAGAAAATACAAATACTTCCTGTAAGAAAAACGAGAATGCATTTTATTAATAATTATTAGTAAAAGATACAAAAATTGACATAAATTAATAATAGAAATAATAAAAAAATAATGATGGATTATATTTTTAAAAATTGTTTTTGATATTAAATGCTTTATAAAATGTTATTATGCTTATTATGTAGGTACACATATTTGTTGAAGAATAATGAAGTTATGTTTTTGTTTTGGTGTTAATTGTAATTGTAATTGTCAAATAATAAAATATTTCCAAATCTACTATTTATTCAATTTAGTTTATCATTTCCAATAGGTTATGGGCCCTGGAGAAATAAACAGATTTAGAAACTGACAAAATATTAAATTTTTTTACAATAACAAATAACATGTCTTTTATCTTCATTGTTCTTGAACACTCCGTTTCAATTAAATAACAAAAATAATCAAATCATCGTTGACCTATAGAGTTCCTCATCTGATAACAAAAATTGGAACGTCGTATTATTTACTTGCTCTTTGTAGTTGGATACAGATAAGGGGGTGAACAACATGTACTATGTCCTGGTGGTGGGAGCGGTTTTCCTTTTCTCGGGCCACATATTTATCATTTTATTCTTTATTATCTTCTCCTGCTCCATTTTTGTGACCACTTTACCTGTTTTTACTTTCGACATTAACGATTCCTGTCGCATCTATTGCTTTTTTATCATCTTTTAATTCATCAAATCATATTTACCTCTACCGCTCTTTCTCTGCTCTTTGAACACAGAGGTTATTTTTGTATTTTCCATAACTATTCTAGTTGCAAGCTGTTACATCCTACCATATTTTCTCTGTTAGTTCTTCTATTTCTGTCTTTTGTTGATCATAGAAATATAATAAAAAAAATTTTTTTTAGAATATTACAAACATTACTTATTTGTTATTCCAGCTGTGCCCAGATTCCGCAATTCCATAGCAAGTTCGATCACCGAGAGTTGCCGAACAGTAACCAGACCTCAATCCGTTATTTCAATGTCGAGCGTTTCGTCGAGCAGTACAAGTTCTGGCGGATCTGCGGGTTCTGCCGGAACGTCCATAGGACCAACTAATAACCAATTAAGTCTAAGTTTTGAGAATTCTTGCGACAGTTCACAAACATATCACAAATCGTCAACGTTGAATAGCCAATGCTCTGTGGGTAAGTACACTTTTGTGGAAATGTATATTACGAACAAGACAGTAGTCTAAAGACACCATTATTTTTTTCTTTCCATTCCAATATCTTATTTTTATCTCCATCTAGAATAATAAAAAATGTTTTAACGCCTTACTCTCATGTTTCAATTTTGACGATCACTTTGATTTTATATAATGTAAGTTAATTTTAAAATATTTTTATTTAAAAAAATTCCTATACATACAAATCGTTAGGTATTTAAAATGATATATGAATACTAGGTATACACAAAAAATTCTTTCGATACAGTTTTCGATCTTTACACTGTTTGAATAAATTTCGTTTTAAATCTAAACAAGACTTATTAATTTCTTTACAAATAGCTACAAAATAAACTGTTTTCTAGGTACAAATCCTGACATATATTTTTTTTATAATTTAGAGGAAATGAAAATGTTTACTTACATTTCACAACAAAAAATTAATTAACTACTAACACACAGATCCATCCAATATGCAAGGCACTACATTACTAAAAACAGAATTACTCTTAGTTTTAAACAGTTTACACATTCCAAACTTAATAGCGTTGTTGTAATATTTTGATGTACATTTTTGGATCAATTTCAATCACCAAATAAAAATTTTGTTATTGAAATTATAGCGAGACTTTTTATGTTCAATTCCATTTTCATGACGCTAATAAGCGATTAGGAAAAAATGTTGTTGGCATAACTACTAACGGGAATTTTTTAATTGGAATGTTATTTGTGTCACTGATGCTGAATAGTTTAAAACGTTTTTTAAATAAAAATATGAGCATAAAAAGTTTTTACATCAATTTAAATATCTCATATACAACTATCAGTATTTTTTTTATTTTTATCATTTACATTTTAGAATGTACATACAAACAATTATTATAAATATTAATTGTGCAGAATCAAATAATGCAAATACAGAATGACCATTTACTGATAGATTATAGTGTTTTTACGATAAAAAGGCAGTGACGTCGCGTCAAAGAATACCTACCCAAGAAGCAAAACTAAATAGGCGATTCGTGGACAAAAACTGCCAAGTTTTCTCAGTGTTTTAGAGGTGATTTAACGTCAAATATAGCTGTCAATTTATATAGAGCAACGTTTGGTATATTATTATTATTATTATTATTAACGTTTTATGAAAGTTGCAGTATAGTTACGTAGTTGTTTTTAACTAACTAAACTCTGTTTTTAAACTAGGAGGAGCGATTTGAGTTTAAGTTGACAATTCTGTAGATTTCTGATTGGTCAGATTGCAGTCAGTTTCACACATCACTTTTTAGCATTAACATCAGCTAATAATAATTGATATTGTTGACAGTTCTAACATTTTATATTTTGATATCTCATCATTATTACTTAGTTTTTTACTTTATTTCGTAAATAATAGTTCTTTTCAAAACTTCAGTAAGCAATTGTATTAAATTTCTACGATTATGGACCCTTCTCTACCGAGTACTATTTAAAGGTAGCAGTTCCTGAAAAGCCCTACAAGAAAGGGAAGAAGACTTATTTTTGCTGAATGCAAAAAGATGGGAGATTACCATGAAGAGATGAATTCCGAAGTATTCCAGAAAAAACTAACAAGTTTATTACTGATTTTTTAAAACTAAAACTTGATAAATTTCTGACCAAACTGACTAAAAAGTAACTAAATATTCAAGTAAATTTTGTTTGTTAGATAATAAAACCATTTACAAAATTGTTAATTCATTTAAAATACCATCTACTACTACAATAGAGATAATCTTAATTTAGCATAATGAGCTATTACTTCCACAATAAATATTTTAAAAATATCTACTTAACATTAATATATAGGTATACGTATGTTTATGAATAGTTCACTTTAAATTAAAAAATATGGGTAAAAATTAGAACTTGAGTTAAAAACACCTAAAATATCATTAAGTTAAAATTTAGTAATGATATAATGTTGATATGTAGTGTTATGTAGCGTATTAACTATGGGTTAACAGCAAAATAGCTACAATATCCATATTACACATAGGATAAATTCCAGTCATTGTGTGATCCAATTGCCATTCACTGATTACTTTTTATCTATAACAAATAAATCATTAAAAATGTAAAACGATAATATTTCTATGTTTTATACCAACCAGCATCTTGATATTCTTTTAACAATATTCAATATCCATTTAAAATAATTACAATCCTCAAAAAGTCTATTTCAAAAGCAAGAAAAACATATTTCTGATGTCAACAAATCAACGATCATATTAAATTTCATTTGACAGTGACAATTCGTTTTAGACACACTTTTCAGATCACAATAATAAGAAATTTACGACCGTTGTCTGGAACCAATAAAAAATCGACTCCTTTGACATTTATTTGTTCCTTAATCCCTGATTGGCTGTTCGCCGACTAGGGCCGATAATAACAACTATTACATATATTTTAAACACGACTTTATTTCGGAACAAGCTCTTAGTAACGAATCTAGTTACTTTTCCCTGTGTAAATGCGTCTTTTTAATTCGCTCCTCCTAGTTTAAAAACAGAGTATAGTAATTAGAAATTAGATAGTTTTAAGATGTTCGTAAATTTTAATAAACGTTCTTGCATCTGGCTGTAAATGTTTTATTTTTCAAATTTTTAAATCAGTATTACCTCTAATGATAATTTACGCCTCCGTATTATGCATCGTTTAAAATTCATGGACTTTTATTTAAAATTTGTTTTTTTTTGTTTTTCAATTAATTGGGATTAAAAAAGTAAATAAAAAATAATACAAAACAATAATTAAAACTCACTCTGAGGAACCAAGTCGCTGCAATCAGGATGCAATCGAAATGCATTTACAGCTACCTACAGTACTTCTATATATGTGACGTGTGGAGGGTAGGTTACCCCACGGCACTTAGACCTCACTATGCCCATTGTGCATCCTCCTAAGAGGATAGGCACCTCCTAGCTCGTGAGCCAGCCTTCAGATTTAATGTAGTTGACAACGTCGCCAAGAGGTGCTTCTCTTATATCGGTCGGTTTTAGCCAATACTCGCCGAAAACAAATCTTCTAATAAATGAGAGCGTCGGTCAATCATACAGGATTTAATCGATATTCACACCTTCTTCTGACAGCCCCATAATATGGAGATGCTTCCGTACTTGGCAATGACCAGTTAGAATGCATGTGTTCAGGTGCAGATTCTGTCAAGTCATAGTCAAGTATCTGTTTCCTGTAGTGTTGTCAGAAACACTTAAAATCTCCTTGGCAATGTTGTTTAATTAGGTTTGTCACTACCGATGTTGTCAGTCCAATAGAAGGGCCAGGTCCAAAAAGTATTTTGTTGGCTGCCTTCTTGGCTAGTGAATTAGCAAGATGGCTACGCTTCGATGTGGCATAACCTTTAATACATGGCTTATGGAAGATAAATCTCGGTAAGATGAAGTTCAAGTTCGCTTGAAACAGTGGGAGCGTATCGAGCGTCTTTTGGCAAAAGTGACGTCTCGCCTCACCAGATCCCAGATCCTACATTATGTTTTATTCCAACCGTGCAGAGGCGTGTCATTGTCATCGGAGCAACTTTCTTGATGTAAAAATCAAGGGGAGTAAGACTGGGAACGACTTACATGGCTCTGGTTATGGTGTGATTTTCATGGCTCTTGTTATGTTGAGACATTCTGTTATTTGAATTTGTTCTAGTTTGCAGATAGCTGTTAATTTTTAGATTTTTTCGATATCCAGACAACTCCACCGTATGTTAGCATAGGTTTCATGATGGCCATGTAAGTCCATGTGACGACTCTGGGAGAGAAACCCCAGGTGCGACCCATGGTTAGGCGGTATTGTTCATAAGCAATGTATGCTCTTTTGACTCTGTTTTCCAAGTGTAAGTTACATGTTAACTTGCTTCACCTCCGTTGCAAACATTGAGATAGAATAAAGAGGAGAATGCTATGACGATGCTAAAGTTTCCGCACCTTTGCATTACATTTTTACGTCGTATGTCAAACTCGAGATAGCTGCATTTAAATGATATAAAATTATTTACATTCCATCCATTTCAAATATAAAATGATTGATTTCAAATAAATCAAAGTAGGACTAAAGTCGCCATTTTCATTATACTTTGCCCTCACTGGAAGAGCGTCCTGCTGTCATATCGCAAAACAGTGTTTATGTCGTCTCTACTTTATTCTGTATCTCGATGGTTGCAATGTTTTGTTATGTTTTGTGTTTAGGAGCTCGAGAGGTTTTAATTCCATTTTTAACCGACTTCAAAAAAGGAGGAGGTTCTCAATTCGTCGCGATAATTTTTTTTTATGTATGTTCAACGATAATTCTTTAACACGGTGTCTGATTTTAATGATTCTGTTTTTGTTAGAAAGGGGGTACTTCAGGGGTGGTCCTGTATAAATTTTGGACCCAGGAGAAAATCCTCAAACTCTTCATTTTTGGTGTATGTTTAGATTAGATTAGATTAGATTAGATTAGATTAGATTAGATTAGATTAGATTAGATTAGATTAGATTAGGAGTTGGACGTTATTTGTCCTTGTCCACCGCGACCTTTTCAGATCTATTGTGGGACTCCGTTTGTTTTAGAGTATGTCGTCTAGCCTGGTGTTTTTTATTAGACTTAGTAGCTTTGACAGTGGCTCCCGCATGTAGTTGCATGCAATTGGCTTTTCTTCGCCCAATGTTAGAAACCTCATTCCAGCCAAGCCTTCACATTGGCACAGGACGTGGAATGATGTTTCCTCTTCTTCTTCTTCTTCACAGAACCTGCACAAAGTTGCTTCTTCTGCTGGATTCATGACACTCATGTGCCTTTTGAGGCGACAGTGTCCAGTAAGAAGGCCTACTGTTATCCTAACGATTTGATGTTTTTGATCCAGTAGGTCTTTCGTAAACTTGGCCGATGGTTCCTTGATGAACTGTTTGGCCTGTCTCAGTCTTGGATAGTTGTTCCACCATTCCTGAGACTCTTTTTGCATCCATTGTTTAA